TACCTGAACGGGGGTTCCAAAGAGGATGGATCTAGACTGTTCTCAGTGGTTCCAGACAACAGAACAAGGAGTAATGGTCTCAAGTTGCAGTGGGGAAGGTTTAGGTTGGATATTAGGAAAAACTTTTTCATTAGGAGAGTGGTGAAGCACTGGAATGGGTTACCTAGGGAGGTGGTGAAATCTCCTTCCTTAGAGGTTTTTAAGTTCAGGCTTGACAAAGCCCTGGCTGGGATGATTTAGTTGGGAATTGGTCCTGCTTTGAGCAGGGGGTTGGACTAGATGATCTCCTGAGGTCCCTTCCAACCCTGATATTCTATGATTCTGTGAATTTTTATTTATTGCCTGTGATCTGTCCATGATTTTTACCAAAAATACCCATGACTAAAATGTAGCCTTAATTATAGTGACTGAGCAGGATAGAGGAGATACAATACTGAATTTCCTTTCATTTTGTTGGCTTAGTGGCTGCAGTTGGATAAGATTTTTAAGACTTACATTGATTTATAATTGTTTTCTTTGTTATAGACAAGTAAAATTAAATGGGTCCAGTAACTGGAATGACTCCAGATAAGAAAGCTGAAGCACCTGGAGCAGAAAAGGCTGCAGGATTAAGACAGATTTACAGAATGGGAAGCTTGCCTGAAGCAGTTGATGCTGCTAGGCCGAAGGCCACGTTAGTGGACAGCGAATCAGCAGATGATGAGCTCACAAATTTGAACTGGCTTCATGAAAGTACTAATCTTCTAACATACTTCAGTCTTGGAAGTGAGGGTCTTCCAATTGTTAGTCCTATATATGACATTGAGGGTGATAACGTGCCATCTTTCTCAGCATCCTGCTACCAGAATCTGGAAAAAAAATCAGCCACTTCCAAACCTCCTTATTCCTTTAGCCTTCTCATTTACATGGCTATTGAACATTCTCCTAATAAAAGTTTGCCAGTCAAAGAAATCTACAGCTGGATTCTGGAACGCTTCCCATACTTTGCCACAGCACCCACAGGGTGGAAGAACTCTGTTCGACACAATCTTTCCTTGAATAAATGTTTCCGAAAGGTGGAGAGAAGCCATGGCAAGGTGAGATGTATGGAAAAAATGTTTTTAACAAATATAAAGTGTATTGGGAAATGAAAAAGGCTGTTTTGTTTGTTTTTAAGGAATTTTTTGGGGGGTGTATCGTACTAATATTAGATATACTGGTATGTTGAAATAATATTTTACATTTATAGCATTTTTTTGGCAACTCCAAATGCAACTTGGAAATGCCACTTGTGATAAGGTGCATATATTTTATTTCATACAGTATTTTTATTTAGCAATGTCATAAGCGGAGCTGGCAGTGACAGCTGTAGTTAAAGTTGCCTAGCACTTTCCTTAGAAGGCCCTGTGTTCAGTTGCCTATAACTTTTGCCTTACAAGTTTGGGCTGAAATTTCAGGCTCAGAGTATTTGTTTTTAAATTTCAACAAAAATAGCTCAGTTGTTTCTGAAAACTAGGTTTGGGGGAAAAAAATGCTTTGTCTATGTCAGAAAATTCTTGAAATTCTCATGCTTTCAGGCTTTGGAATCTTTAAACTGGCGAGGGGGCTCCCTTGGTGCTGGAACAATGTGTTTTGCTGTCTTTGTGAAAATCCACCCAGACATAGCTGAGTTATAAGCCCCTGGAAAAAAAAATCACTTGTTTGCACGTGCTTAGTTGGGGATTATTAGAGTATGACAGCTAAAATCTGTAAAGATTCTGTTTATAGTGAGCCTGGTCCATCCTAGGAGCTAGGCAGAAGTTTCCTGCAATTGATGCTCCCAGGAATGAGGGACTACTGTGGTAACAGGCACCAGTACTGAGAGCAGGAATATTGGTTCTTTTATCTTCTCCATGCTCTTCCTGCTGACATTCCAACAGCGTGGAGGAAACTGAAGAAGCAGCCTATCTGATATAGAGGGGTGAGGAGCAGAGAGAGGAACCAGATGCAGGCTGGGAAAAGAGGACAGAACCCAGCAGGAGGAATAACAGTGACAAGTTAGCAGGCACAAGAGCCAAGGGTTTAGGAGCAAAGCCTACAGGAACAGAATGGGACAAGACACAAGAGTCTGTGACTACTAGACTGCATGTCCTCCAGAACCTGGAAATAGAACCTAGGATTTCTTATTCTCAACATTCTTCTGCTATCTAGCAAATAGCTGTGAACCTCAAGGTAATGTGTGTATTACATCCTTGCATGCATCTGACGAAGTGGGTATTCATCCATGAAAGCTTATGCTCCAATACTTCTGTTAGTCTATAAGGTGCCACAGGACTCTTTGTCGCTTTTTACAGATCCAGACTAATATGGCTACCCCTCTGATACTTGACATCCTTGTCTATTGCTCCCATTCTACTCCATTAGTTCAAGAGGTAGAGGTCTGTGCTGTGGACCTAAATATCTGAATCCTATTGATAAACTAGGTGGTTAGTATGGCTTCACATGATGAATTTCTGGAGTCAGAGGTCCCATGGGGAAAAAAAGGGAGCTAAATTAAGGTTGCCTAGTCAATCTTAATTCTGGCATTTCTTAGTTTGTCAGTGCTTGACTTTGCAACCTTATTATTTTAACATAGCTTTCTTTGTATGTAATTATATGATTTACTAACATTCATTTTCAGATAAAACATCTTTTGCTCAAGTTAGTTTGCTGTGTTCTTTGTTCTATGCTTTTATTTCTCTTAAGTTTCATTTATTTCAATATTTGCATCATTCTCCCCTTGTTCAAGTGGAACACTAAGAAATATTTCAGGTTGCTTTAGGAAAAGTGCTTTATCTCCTCTTGAAAAAGAAGTATCGGCACTCGGATCCCCTGCACTCAGTTTCAGTGAAGTCTTAAATCACAAAGTGAAAATTAGTAAAGATTCAATATTTTCTTACTGTTAATACTAATAGAAACCCTCCCCCCCATAATTGAAGATGCTGTCATTTTAATAAAAAAATTAAAAATCCCTAAATGAACACATTTTCTCTATAGAAGGCAAATCAAAACATAATTGCCATTTACACTAGGAATAGTGTCAAATAATCTAATGCACAATACAGTCAGTAAGGGTCCACTTTTCTTTATTTTTTGAAGAAAGGCAGTAGGAGAGTAGGCATTATTCAGAAAAATGTCTTTCCTGAGCCATGTGACCAGTGATTTTGTTCCACAGGGAGGCAGCTCTTGACTAGAGAATTATCCTCTATTTACTAGACCCGGGGTTCTCAAACTTCATTGCACCCCGACCCCCTTCTGACAACAACAATTACTACATGACCCCAGGAGGGGAGACCGAAGCCTGAGCCCGCCTGAGCCCCGCTGTCCCAGGTTGGGGGGGCCAAAGCCTGAGCACACCGCCCTGGGTGGGGGGGGCCAAAGCCGAAGCCCAAGGGTTTCAGCCTCAGGCAGGGGACCTGTAATCTGAGCTCTGCTGCCCAGGGCTGAAGCCCTCAGGCTTCAGCTTTGGCCTTGGGCGGTTGGGGCTCGTGCTTTGGCTTTGGCCTGGGCCCCAGCAAGTCTAAGTCAGTCCTGGCAACCCCATTAAAACGGGGTCGCAACCCACTTTGGGGTCCCAACTCAAAGTTTGAGAACCGCTGTACTAGACAACAATAGTCTGTCACAGAATTCACAATGTTGAAATCCACTTTGTGACAAACTATCTGGCATGACTGACAATCTCTGCTTGGAACAGACCTGTATTTGAATAAGTAGTGATTCTTCAGACAAGTACTGAAGTATGTTGAAGGAGCTGTATTGCATGAAGAAGCTAGAACATCATCTGCTCCCACTATGCCTGACTTTAATTAAAGTAGGCCTTCACTTTCACAAGCACCAAATTTGCATTTAAAAGACACAATTAAAAAATTCATTGATTCATTCCTACCATGCTGTGCTGTGATATTACAATCACCACCAAGTGCTACGAGAGAGCTTAGACTTGGACTGTATGTATGGAGTCAAGTTAGTGTTAAACTGTACACAACTGTTAGTATTTACTACTGTAGACTGTACCTAGCTGAATGTTATATACCTACATGCACACACAGCCTCCAGGCTCCCATAATTCAGTAGTGATGTGATGTCACCAAATGGCATACGAAGGGAGATTGCTTGGGGAGCCAGCCGGTTGTGGCAGAGAAGGATGTCATGCATTTCAAAAGAAGAAAAAATAATCAAGTCAATCTACTGTTTGCTTCTTAGGCTAGTCATTGGAAGCATTAAGAACATACGTTTAAGATTATTGTCCTGTTATATTTTAAACACGTACATGTCAATTTTAGTCAGAGCAATCAACATGGAAGGGGAAGCTTGTGTCTAATCTCTCGTCAGGGGATCTAAGATGAAGGCCTACAGGTCATGCTAACTAAATGTTGACATATTACGAATGGAACTAGAGGTGACTGATAAAATAGTAAGGTACTTGGGATTCTGGGCTCTTCTTTCTTCTTTGGTTTCTGTCCATCAGCTCAGCAAAGTTGATGGGGCTAAATTAAGTCGTCCCACCACTTTCTGTCTTGTACCAGCTTCACGGCTTCATTCATCTTTAAACCTTTTTCTGTGTCATTCTTCACCATTTCTATTCAGTGCATCCTCGCTCTTCCTCTATTTCTAGTTCCTTGTACTTTGGTATGTATTGCCATGCCATGGTATCCTTTCCAGGACCGTTCCTGACACGTGTCCAAACCATCTCAGTAATCTTTCTTGAATCTTCTGTAACAGCATTATTTCTTGCCCTATCCATTTCCTTATCACTTTGTTTTTTACTTTGTGCTGTCTTGAAACTTACAGTATTCTCCTCAGCTAGATCATTTGTGCAATTCATCAGCTTACATTCATCAGCTTACCTCGTATTTCAACGTTCTGACCCATATGGCAGTATCAGCATGACAGTTGTCTCATAGACACTTATCTTCGTCTTTATCAAAATGTCTTTAGTCTTACAGATCTTACAGAAAACGCAGGAACAGTTAGTCTGATTCTTCTTTTAATATCCTCGTCACAATTCTGATTCTTTGATACTAGTCCTCTAAGGCACACAATTTTTTCCACTTGTTCTAGTTCTTTGTCTCCGACTTTGATTTTTACCTCTTACTCTTGTCTTCCAGTTGCCATAGTTTTTGTCTTCTCTGTTGATCTTCAGTCCAGATTTTCTGCTATCCCAGTCTACTGTGTCAGTTATTCTCTGTACCTACTACTTGGTCAGTGCTATCAGTTCTATATCATCTGCAAATCTAAGATTGACCTTCCACATACCATGACTCCATATTTCATCTCTCAGTGCTACAGCCATTGCTGCTTGCAGTACCATGTTGAACAAATCTGGTGATAGTGTTCATCATTGTCTCACTCCTGTGGTCAACCTGAACCATTCCATTAGCTTTACTTTCATCACACTCATTGACTTTCTCTAGATACTTTTTATCAGCTTCATCATTTTCTCAAGGATGTCCTACTTTCTCAAGACTTAGAATGTGGAGAAAAGGGTTATGGCATCAAAAGCCTTTTTACAGCAACTCTGGCATCTATAATATGTTTAGTCGTGTTCGGTGTACTACTGTGATATCTGTCTTCACCTTAGTCTAAATACAACCTGTTCCTCTGCAAGCGCGGCATACAAATACCTCTTAGAGTATCTCTACACTGCAATGTAAGCCCATGCTTGAGGCCTGGCTCAAGGCTAACCTCCCTTGCAGCTACACTGCAATTGTGCTAACCAGGGCTCAGACCCAGGTTCCCAGGACCCTGCAGGGCTGGAGAGTCCAAGCCATGTTGCTTTGCAGTGTAGACACAGCCCTGCTTGACTCAGATCTTGGGAGTCATCCGGAAGTATCTCGCAATTCCATGAGACAACTTCCTTCGTCCTCTCTATCCCAACAATCTGTAGTCCACACTATTGGAAATGGAAGCCACACCCCCTTTGCAAATGGCAGCACTTCAGGTCAACATTAACCCATTCTGTTCTGATCACCAATCTGCAAGCACACGATCAGAAATCCTCTTGGGTTTGCAATGGAGAGAGAAACGATCAAGTCCTTTGCAAAGCGATCTGCTTCTTGGTAATGTGCAGGGTGGGCAG